GAGAAGCTAAAGTGTGTCCAAGAGGCTATGGAGTCCACTCGAGGAGCAAAGCCTTGTCCCAGCACTGCAATTGCTCTGCAGCAGCCACCAGAGGAGAGCAATAGGAGCATTGCATCCTGCAGGAGCGCTTGGAGCTGGTTGGCACTCTGTCAGCACATGTGCAATTAGGGCAGAGCACGTGCGAGCAGCTCTGTGAAGGTTAACTGCTCTGAGGAGTATTCCTGCCCTTCCAGGGTCTCGGCCGCTCCAGGTTTAACACCCTTGTTACCCTCAGCAGCAGGAGCTGGCGATGCCGTGCATTGTTCTCTGCTGTGCACTTGGCAACAGCTACTGTGTGCAGCAGGATGGGTGCGTGTGGTGGGATGTACACATGCAGCAGGATGGGTGCAGTGGGATGGTTGCATGCGGCAGGATGGATGCAGCAGGATGCGTGCAGTGCCATGGGTGCATGCGGCAGGATGGATGCGGCAGGATGTGTGAGGGGCTCACTGGCTCTTGGTGCTGATAGGCTCCAGCTGCCAGTGCCCGGTGGGAGCTCAGGAAGGCACCCGTGTGCCTGCCCAGGAAGGGCAGCACCTAAAAGTAACTCTGAAACAGGGCAGAGCTTGGGGAAAAAGCTTTTCTGCGTGCACATCCCAGAGCCGCGGCAGTTGCGGTGCTCTGCAGGGCCAGGGGTGTCTCAAGGACACGTTGCAGCTCCCAGTGTTATCCTTAAAACTGTGCAGCAAGAGCTGAATTTGCTTTTCCTCCTCTTTTCCTTGATCGCTCCTTCCCTGCTGTCTCTCCTCAGTGCCAGCCTCTCTATCCATTTGTCTTTATTGTGCATGGAGTTAAACGGGGTCTGTAAATGTGGCAACACTTTCAGGTTATTAGCTCTGCAATTCCTTGGCTCCTGTTTGGTGTGATAACATCATCTGAAGGGGCTGTTGTAATTAATAGTTTGTTCGTGCTTCTTTTATAAACCCCTGGTGTGTTTGTTTTATACTCCAACATCAGCCACTACAGCTTGCTTCCAGTGTCTTGTCTGAAGCATCCCCACTACAGGGAAAGGGCTTAGAGGTTTGTTTTTTTTTTTTGCAATAGTTTATTGAAACCATAATTTAAAGGCAAAACTCAGTAAGTACAATATGAAAGGCAAGACAATCATCTTGCCCTGACCATAGCGCAGAGGGGACCAAAATCCTTGTTTACAGAAGTGCCTGTGAAGGGGCAGCTGGAGCATGGCAGTGCCTGCAGGACAGGACCCTGCTCCTGTCACCCAGCCCTGGCCAGTGCTGGGATGGGCTGGAGCAGCAGCAGGGGTGAGAAGAGAGCAGAACTGCCTCTGAACTCTGAGTGGTTTCGTCTCTTTTGAAGCACTGCCATCTAAAACCCCAGAGACCACAGGCACAATCCATGATGCAGAGCAAGTGAAGGCTTGTGTAGGTAAAGTGCCACGTCTCTGGGCACCAAGAGGCTCCGAGTGCCAGGGAGGTGCTGGTCGGGGGGGGAGTAGGAGCAAATGAAGCACAAATGCCACCAGTAACACCCTCTGATTGCACAGCCAGAGCATGGGCACAAGGGGCAGGGCCCAGCCAGTCCCTGTTTGCTCCGAGCTTTTACTTTTAGAGCCCACAGGCACTTACTTGCAGAGCAGCATCTTGTCAGCTGGGAGAGAGACCAGGCTCAAGGGTGTGTTACAGAAACCCACCAGGCAGTGGCTGCGGCCAGCCCGGTTCACGCTGCAGCAGAGGCGCTGGGTACCGGTGAGGGGTGTTAACTAACCCGGAGCCCCCGTTCCCCCAGCTCCCAGGGCAGAGCAGTTGTGCTGGTGGAGGCAGTGCTGTGAGGCCAGGGCAGAGCTGCCTGTGTCATGCAGAGGGTCAGGGCTGGTGACAGCCACGGTCCCCTTGAGCCCTCTTGTCTGGGAGTCCCTCGCTCCTAATCCCGCAGAGCTTTTAGCGTATTCGCCCCGTTTTGGCACTTGGACAGCCTGTGTTTGACGCAGAGGAGCACACACCAGCCACTTCTGCCTCTGCTGGTCCCTCCTTCTGCTCAGACAACTGCACAGGAAAACAGCTTATCCTGTCTGAGGCAGCACAAACAGCGTGCGGGTGACCGGGTAATTAAACACCACGGGGGACTGGTGCTCGCCTGGCAGTCCAGCTCCATTTGCAAGGTAGAAGAACTTTGCAAACTGCTCCTTCTGCTTTATCCGGGCTGCTGCTGTCTCAGCTGATGCCCTCTTCAGTAAAAAATCAGAGCTGCCTCTCCCCGCTCCCCACAGTGCCACCTACCACAGGCTCAGTGATCCCACGGCACCCATTTGACTCTCCTGTCACAGTGCTGATCCAAGCTCCCAGCAGCAGCAGTCGGGACAGCCCCAGGTGCCCAGAGTTTCACCCTCGTTATCAGCTCATTATCAAACATGCCTCTGGCCTGGAAGAGATGCCTCTGGAGAGCTTGCTGTGAACCCTGACCCTCGGTATTCCTGTTGGGAGCTATCAAAGGGAGCATCAGAGCTGGTCCAGCACTGTCAGGCTTTACCGTGCTGTAAAATGAAGACTGGGGTAAAGAGAGAAGGCGGTAAGCTCTATTCTCCCATCCTCTCAGAGCAGGCCAGCAGTGAATACAGAGCACAAAGGAGAAACACTGCCTGAGTCCTGCAGGATGAATTAATGGACCTTGTTGCTGCTTGATGTCTTTGAGCAGAGACGGGTCCAGCGGGACTGGACACCTTTGTGCATGTTAATGTGCCTGTTAACTGCATCTAGAGTTGCTACTAACTACAGAGATTGGGAAGCAGTGTTAACACTTTCTGCTTTGGAACTTCATTAGATCTTCAGTGGCAGAAATCAGGAGGAAAGGAGCAGAGTAATCCACTGAGATTGAGAGATCCTTGGTCCTTCCTTAGGAGCTCCCATTACTCACGAGTGTCGAGGAGAGGCGCCTGACCAGAAAACCCCCAGCCACTACCTAGGATGTGGTACCTGTGTCCCTGCAGACTGCCAGCACCAGCACTAGGGATATGCTCTGGCTGTTAGCACAGGACAGCAAGCAGCACCGTAAAGTGTGGTCTGCAGTTTGTGATAGAACCCGTTAAGAAGGAAATGCACACAAATTGCTAGCTATAACTGATGATAAAATAACTATTTTGTGGAGCAAGGAACACATTGATTTTGGTAATTAATGGTTCAATAGAAACCTGTTCTCGGAGCGCCCTGGGCAAAGTCACTGGATTAGAAGCATCTTTATTCCCTGGCCTCAGTTCTCTGCCTCACTCCTCCACATGTTCTCCCAGCCCCAAGGACAGCCGCAGGCACTGGCTGCTGCTTCCCGCAGGCTCCCACTGTCCTGGCAGCTCGTCGGGGCAGGGACTGGGGCTCAGGCTGTGGCAGTGCTCACCCAGAGCACAGGCACCTGCCTGCCACTTCCAGAGGGCAGCTCCGATGGGACATGATGCTGGAGGTCCTGGCCATTGGTGTGCTGGAAGGGGTGAGCCGGAGCCCTGCAGCCCTGCTCCCAGCACAGCCCCATTGCCAGGACCCAGAGAGAGGTATTTTAACAGGGAAGAGGTGACTGCAGGATGCCAGGACCCTGCTGGCATCTTCACTCCAAAGTGCTGGTGGCACGAGCAGCCCTGTGGCAGCACCAAGCCCCTTCCCTTGGGCTGGGCAGCAGTCACACAGAGGAGGCAAGGCTGGCAGTCAGACCCAGCTGGGCCTGGCCTCACTCGAGCTGTGTAATTCCTGAAATGGCTGTTTCCCGGGGCTCAGCCGTTTGACGTCAGCATCACCGCGGCCGCCGGTGCCCAAGGTGCTCTTACAGAACCATTTCCAGCCTGCTCACATTGTTCCCTCACCGTATGTTTGTACTAAAAATAGTCGCAATGCGAGGGGATAATCCTGTAAGACCCCGAGCATCGCCATCCTCTGTGCCTGCTGCAGGAGACCTGGCCAGTGCTACCAGTGCTTCCCGGAGCAGTGACACCGCTCCTCCTCCTGCCTCCCAGGCACCCCATCTGCGGAGCAAACCAGCCAACAACAGGTTAAACAAACAGGGGTTGTGGGGCTGCACCCATGCAGGAGCGCCTGGGGAGCTCAAGGTAAAAATACTGCTGTAACTCAGTTAAGAAGCGGGCAGTTCATGGCCATGGCACATGCAAAGCCGGAGCTTGGCTCCTGGCACCACTCTCCAGCATCTCCAGCACCCTCAGGAGGTGTGAAAGAGGCTCTAATGCTCTTGCCAGGGACATCACTTAATACCTTCCTGCTTGCTATGATAATCTTTAACTGGGGGCAGCGGGGATGAGCATTTACCTCTTCATTTTCTTAGATATAAATGCTATCTCGCCACAGTTTCATTTTACAGTATGGTAATATGCTATCCAGGAAAGTCTTGCTATGCTAATTTATCCAGTAGGCAAATTCCTTTTGGCTAATAAAAGTGCTTGCACAGGAAGCTCAAAACCCAGCAGCAATTAATTATTGACAGAGCATGTGAATTAGAGATAAAAAAAAAAGTCATTCTTTCTCACATACAAGATAGTAAATAAATTTAATTATTGTACTAGAAGCAAGGGATCTTATTCTGTATTAAGTTTTATTAGCTGAGACATTTAAAAGCATGTCATCATAACAAAAAGGTCTTGTGTAATCCTAACTGCACCACTCTGGTACAAGGCTCAGAAGTGAATAGGCTTAATTGAGCAAATGGAAGCAGATGGCTTGCTGAACAGACAGGTATTGTACAGGTTTATTGTCAATTAACTTTTGTCTACATATGCCTATGGCGAATTGACTGTATAATGTGTTACCGAGGCTGATTTAATGCTTCAGGTCCCCACCATGTCCAGGGTCCAAGAGGAAGCCAAGCCAGAAGTGCTTTGGTCACTGGGGCCCTCAGGCACACAGGATCCCCCCTCCTGACAGCCCCAGCAGCGCCTGCACGGGGCAGGAGGGACACGGGGTGTCCCCCCATGCCCGGCCCTTCACTAACATCCCTCCTCTGCTTCCACACAGGAACGTGATGCCCAAGACGCTGGACGGGCAGATCACCATGGAGAAGACCCCCAGCTACTTCGTGACCAACGAGGCCCCCAGGCGCATTCACTCCATGGCCAAGGACACGAAGCTGATCGTGGTGGTGCGGAACCCGGTCACCCGCGCCATCTCGGACTACACGCAGACGCTCTCCAAGAAGCCGGAGATCCCCACCTTCGAGGTGCTGGCCTTCAAGAACCGGACCCTGGGGCTGATCGACGCCTCCTGGAGCGCCATCCGCATCGGGATCTATGCCCTGCACTTGGAGAACTGGCTCCAGTACTTCCCTCTCTCGCAGATCCTTTTTGTCAGTGGCGAGAGGCTCATCACTGACCCGGCTGGGGAAATGGCCAAGGTCCAGGACTTCTTAGGCCTCAAGAGGATTGTGACAGAGAAACATTTTTATTTTAATAAAACCAAGGGGTTCCCCTGCCTAAAGAAGCCAGAGGACAGCAGTGCTCCCCGGTGCTTGGGCAAGTCCAAGGGTCGAACTCACCCCAAAATAGACCCAGACGTCATCCACAGACTGCGGAAGTTTTACAAACCCTTCAATGTCATGTTTTACCAAATGACAGGCCAGGATTTCCAGTGGGAGCAGGAAGAGAGTGATAAGTAGACCCACAAAATCAGGACCAAAAAATGCTCTTTTCTTTTGAGGTGTAAATCATCATTAGAGACCCAAAACTCACCCAGGGCTGGAGGCTCAGCATCGTGAGCGCAAGGCTCCTGCACTGTCAAGGTTGCTGCCAAAGCCACCCCATGTTTCCAGCCCTGAAACCTTAATGGCACCAAACCTCGGGTCGCACTTGGGCTCTCCCCACTGTGACCGTGAGAAGCCAGGGGCTGGTGGGAGGAAGGAGGCAGAGGGTGCGGGACTCCTCGGGGTGCTGGGATGCTTCGTGCCCACATTTCGCTGCTGGCTCCCCCTCGCAGCCAGGCAAGGCAGGAGCAGCTCCTGCAGGGCTGCCTGAGCAGGAGGGTGGCCCAAAACCCAGCAGCATGGGGTCAAACTCATAGATTTGATTTCTTCTGTCCTGGCTTCTAGTTTTGCCCAAGCGGCAGCATCAGATCTGTTGAAGTCCAGGCTCGTGCATTCACATGCACACTGGTGTTTATGTGTGGAAGGAATAAAGCCAGTTATGCTGCAGGGGAACTATGTACAGAAACTTCATTTGCACCAGATGTTCCAATTACCTGTTGCACTAAAACTAGTGTTTACCAAGTGCCACAAAACGCCTGGGCCTGATTCTCCTCCAGCTGATGGGTGCATCCCCATTGCTGGAAGGGAGCCCTTCCTCTTTGCTGGGATGCTCAGTGAGGTCAGACCTGGGTCCTCCCCAAGCCCCCCCTCCTCTGTGCTGTGCCCTGCTCCGAGGTCTGGAGCCAGGTGTTCCTGGTGGGAATGGCGGGGTGCCTGCAGGCAGAGCCATGGGGACAGCCCCAACAAGGGCCTGGGCAGGGCTGGCTGTGGGGCCTCTGGCACTGCCCTTTGCACCTTGAAAACGAGAGCTCTCCTGCTTGTCGGTGACAGAGGGGCCCGCACAGCTTTAGTTCACAATTGCAGAGAAGCAATGGATTCCCAGGGAGAGCACTGCTCTGCACAGATAATGTGTGTTTTCTACTGGAAACGGCCAAGTCAACCAAATTTGCAGTGCTGATAGAAGCTGTAGAATAAACCCGGATCCCAGCTGGATCCGCCAGCGACGTGGTGAGTGCTGCACGCTGGAACCAGTGGAGAGCAGCCAGCAGCACTCTGACACAGCAGCGCTGTTCCCATCCCCATCACTGAGGGAAAACAGAGAGAGGGAGCAACAGGGAAAATGCGGAGCTGCTGTTGCTGAATGCTCCCCTCGTAGGGGTGATTTCTAAGGGCACTCCAATGCTGCTGGCTGCTTGCTTTGTTTTAAGAAGTGGTGAGGATGCCTCCTGGGCTGTGTGTGAGTCCTGTCCCCTTGCGAGAGGCTGGCCCCTGGCTGTTGGGAAGCAGCGGAGATTCTGTGCATGATCACTGTGGGAGGACAAAGACTCAGTTTTGATTAAGGTGGCAAGAAATCCCTCCTGAGCCAGCTAACCAAATGAAATCACTGTTTTCTGGGTAACAAGCTGAACCTGCTTGGGTTTCGTGGCCTGTCGCGTGGTTCATTACGCCATGAAGTGGTGCTGGTGCCTTGGATTGGATGAAAGGCAGAGCTGAAGCCATTTGGACAATTTAGCCCGTGGGCCATGCTGGAGGGGCACCGCGACGTCCCTGCTCACATCACGTCAGTTCCCGTTAGCATGATTAGATTTAAAACCAGCTCCTGACACAACAGTTTTTCACAGACCCACAATCCCCGAATTATGACCTGAAAACTGGAAGTCTGTAACAGGAATCATTTTACAGTGTTTCACATGTTATTAAAATGTCAGATCAGCTCCGAGTGAAAACCGCTGTTACACAGTTCAGTGCAAGCTGCTCGATGCGTTCAGTGGAGGACGAGGGAGGGGATGACCGAGGACCAGAGTCCAGGCTCCTCACCGGGGGTATCCAGAGATCTTTGCCTGTTCCCAGCGTGCTGCAGCCCCAACACCCGGCTGAGCAGAACCTGCCAGTGCCGGGGGTGGGGGGGGGTTGGCCCTGGGGGACGCTGCCCCAGCTCATGGCATGGCCGGGGTCTGGCAGGTTGCTGGCTGCACATGACCGCAGCATGGCCCTGTGCATCACCTCATGGCCAGAGCTGGGACTGCCTCAGCCCCCATCCCCAGCTTAACCACGAGCAGTTTTTCTCTGAGCAAGGTCTTCTTGAGCTTGAAGAGTCCCCAAGGAGCCCCATGCCCACCCTGCAGGTCTCCCTGCGTGCCCCAGCCTTGGTGTGGTCTGGTCCAGGCGCTGCCCTGTGTCTCCCTGGGCAGCTCAGGCTGGCTTCTCCCGGGAAGAACCTCTGGTCCCCAGCTGCCATCAAGCCACTGTCACTCTTCCCACCGTGCCCCTCACTCACTTGGAGGGACAGGAGATCTGAAACCACATTTTTGTCTGAGAACCAGGACCCGATGAAGCATCCCGATAGGGAAGTCACGGCGTGTGGCTGGAGGAGCATCTGTCCTGCGCTGGGATGAAGCACAGTCACACCTGGGGCTCAGTCCTGCCGCTGGGACAAGCCCCTGGAGCAGGGTGCACCGCAGCCCCCAAGGGGGGTCACCGCATGGTTTACAGCGGTGCGGGGTGCCGGGGGTGCTGGGCCTGCCCGTGCGCATCTCTCGCTCCCGTTCTTTCTGCCATATGTTCAGAGGTTTATTTTTTATACTGGCTGCAGCCTCCATCCCGGGAGGAGCCGCCGAGAGCCCCATCCCGGTAGGACACGGTGCCACCGGCCCCTTCTGCTTCCCTGGCACGCGCCCCGTGTCTGCCGCGCCGATGCTGGGGATTGACAGGGGAATTATTTTCTATCTGGCCGAGAGTGGCCTGCGAATGGGAGAGTCAGGTTAATAATGTGTTTTTTTTAAACTATTCAAATGTCAGCATTAGAATACACAGGAAATTGAATTTTGTATTTGATTTCAATTAGCAGAGCATAAATTATATTTAATTTTATACACAGACCGGGTGATTCATTGTTCTGGAAAAGCTGGTGCTTTATGGTTCAGAGACTGGAAATGGAGAGTTAAGTCTTTTCTGAAACCAAACCGCTGTGCTGTCGCCTCCTCCCAAACGCGTCTCTGTCTGTCAGTGTCAGTGTACCTGAACAATATGAAAACCCCAAACTGAACACTTGAACCCACAGCACTAAACAATAAAACGTTGTAGCAGCTGCATTTCTCTGCTCCATTTCTCCCACTAACACCCTGCAAGCAGCAGAGCCACGATGGGTGCTGGCCATGACCCATCATCAGCCAGCCCAGTCCTGAGCAGCCACTCGACCCCGCTATGGGACACGGCCCCATTGGTGCCAGAAGGGCTGGAGGAAGGTGCGTGCCATAGTGGGACCAGGACCTGAACCAGGACCAGGTCCAGGACCACCTGGGCCAGCTCCAGCCCACAGGCTCTCAGACATCCTGAGATGTCCTTCATGGGATCCAGTCAGGGACCCATGGAGAGCACAAACCCTGCTTTCCCCTGCAGGCAGGGATCAGTCACTGCCCCCCAGACCCAGAGCTGCCCCAGCTGGGGACAGCAGGACTGTCCCTGCAATGGGGGACAGCTTTCCTCACTGGCCTCACAGCTTGGGCTGCACTTCCCAAGGTCACAAAGAACAAATCCCTGGGCAGTGCCTGAGCCATTTCACTTGCTGCTCATCAAGGACAGGTCAGTGGATAACAAGGGGAGGGAGGGGGCTGGCTGCAGGCAGAGAGATGAGGGGGGATTTTTTTTCTCTTATTTTGTGTGCACAATTTCCTGCTAGTCTGAAAAACGCCATTTCACAGCACAGCCCCATTGTGTCATCTGATAAAAACCACTGAAAAACTTTTATCAACAAAATGAGGAAGTAGTCAACTATAAAATTGCTAATTATTTTCTAGTAAATTTACTTTTAAATAACTTTGGACACCAATTACAGGCACCATTAAGCCCCATTAACACTGGGTATATTTGCTAAACAAGGATGGAATACTCATTCAAATCAAGATCATTTGTGTGTAGATCTTGCTGTTTGGAAAGCAGTCCCCTCTTACCAGATGTTTAGAAAGTCAGCAGAAGATCAATTACACCTCACACATAATCAGATTTCTAACATTTAGGTTGTGGCATGATATAATTTAAACCTTGAATCAAACACCCCCATGAGCAGGGACTGTAACGCTGAGGAGATGCCCTGGCAGCACTGGCACTTGATGGATGCAGGGCCAGGGCTCCTGTGCAACTTCCTCTCTTGCAAGACCCAGGTGAGCCCCACATTGAGCTGCTCCAGCTGCCTCTTACAGCGTCTCCTTCCTCTGCTCCATGCAAGGCTTCACCACCCTCTGCAAACCTCTCCTTGTCTGGCCAGCGAGCATTGCTACTCCCTGCAATCCACTGCCCTTTGGCTCCTCAGCACCATAACCAGGCGCCTTTTGCTGCTTACAGGGATTTGCTCCCAGCAGACCTGTGCAGCTCCCCGCTCCCTCCACATGCTGCACATGTGCGGGATGCCCTGGTGCTGGCATCACCAGAGCCCCGGTGCTGGTACTGGCATCACCAGACCCCAGTGCCAGTACTGGCATCACCAGACCCTGGTGCTGGTGCTGGATGTGCTCCATGTGGGGCTGAGCACCAGCGTGCACCTCTTAATTGGCCGTTGCCAGGCGGCTGTCAGAACGCCGGCTGCAAAGCTGCTGCCTGCCCTGACTTTCCTGCTGTTATCTTTGACATCCTCATTATTTATTAACTGCCCTGTACCCAACAGGCTGCCACCGATGCGGAGATGCTCTTATTATGCAGGTTCAATATTCCGCCTGCCTTCCAAGGTCACATCCTCCAGGATGTCTTGCAAACCAGATTGAAGAGGTACCAGTAAAGAATCAACATGTTCTGTGTGTGCTGATGCCAGGTTTCAAACAGAGCCCTTTGAATAAGGATGACATACTAAACAGAATCATGGAATTGTTTAGGGTAGAAAAGACCTTTAAGATCATCAAGTCCAGCCATTAACCCAGCACTGCCAAGGCCACCACTAACCCAAGTCTCCAAGCACCTACATCTACACATCTTTTAAATCCCTCCAGGGACGGTGACTCAGCCCCTTCCCTGGGCAGCCTGTTCCAACGTTTTCAGTTAAGAAATCTTCCCTAATATCCAATCTAAACCCTGATGCAACTTGAGGCCATTTGCTCTTGTCCTATTGCTTGTTGAAGAAGAGATGGACCCCACATCCAGTGAAGGATGGAGATTTTCCTTAGCCTTCCTTTTGCTGCTAATGTATTTATGGAAGCATTTTGTCTTTTACAGCAGTAGCTGTATTAAGTTCTCGTTGGGCTTTGGCCCTTCTAATTTTCTCCCTGCATAACCTCACAACACCCCTGTGGTCCTGAGTTTCCTGCCCCTTCTTCCAAAGGTTATGAACTCTGGTTTTGTCCCGAGCTCCAGCAAAAGCCCGTTCAGCAAAGTTCAGCCAGGCTTGGCTTCTTTCTGCCCTGCTGGCCTCTGCACCTTTAGGATTTCCGTCTCAAGGCATGTCCACTCATCCTGGACCCCTTTGCCTCCACGACTGCGCCCTGAGGGACTCTGCCACCCAGACTCGTGCTCAGTTCAAAGTCTGGCCTCAGGGAGTCCAAGGGAGCCGTTCTGCTGACCCCCACTTTACTTCTCCAGGAACTGGAACTATCACTTCATGATCACTGAGCCCAAGATGACCTCCAGGCAGATGGCGATACGAGACCCTGTGCCTTACTGCCCTTCCCTGTCCTGTGTGTAGCACTGGGCTTTCTGCACCTGCATCAGCAAAACCAGGAAACCAGAGCAGCCGGGAAGGGCTCCCACCATCGGCTTTCACACACTGGGACAGAGATGAGCTGGAGAAGAGCAACGTGGGGTTATTCAGCTGCCCAGGTCCAAACCACCATGACCTGCTGCAGCTTTGCCAGCG